GTTGGTTGGGCATCTGCCTTCGGCTCAGGTCATGATCCCAGGGTCCTGGGATCGAGTCCCGAGTTGGGTTCCCGGCTCGGCGGGGAGTCTGCTTCTCCCTCTCCCTCTGCTGCTCCCCCTGCTTGTGCTCTCTCTCTCTCTGATTAATAACAAAATATTTAAAAAAAAAGAGAGAGAGAGAGAGAAACCAAGAAACAGACTCTTAACTATAGAGAACAAACTAATGATTGCCAGAGGGGAGGTGGTGGGCGGGGGAATGGGGGTAATAGGGGCTGGGGATTAAGGAGTGCACTTTTCGTGATGAGCACTGGGTGATCAAAATAAAAACTTAAAAAAAAATTCATACTTGAATTCTCCAAGCATCGGTACACCCAGGCTCACCACCAGCTGCCAGATGTTTTCCAATAACAATCAGAAAATCTGGTTTTGAATTATTTTCACATCTGCAGTTAGTGCCAATCCCAGAGAAACCCTGAGCCTAAAACCATAGCTGCCTGTATATTGGTGTCAAATTGGCCAGCAGGGGGCAGGCTTGTCCCAGCCAGTGGGACAGCACCAGGGGGTGCCTCTGGGGCTTGGCTCTGAAAAAGTGCCAGGTTCCTCCGTGAAAAAGCATCTTGTCTGGACGGAGGGAAAGCCTGGCACAAGAATACACTCTGCCTCAGGTCTCAGCTGTCCTCCATGACCTTGGCTGTTTTCTTGACTGTTGTTTTTTTGAACAATAGTTGCCACCATTTACGGAGTGTTTATTATGTACCAAGCTCTGGGCTCAGTATTTCCCTCTGCATTAGAAATAGTTACTGTGCCCATGGCTAGAGGAAGAGAGATTCAGAGAGGGGCAGTAACTTCTTCAAGGTCACACAGCCTGTCCACGGTGAAACTGGAATTCTAAGGCACAGCGGTCAGTGCTCTTGAACCTTTCACTGTGCTGTCCCAGCACCTGGAGATGGACTGCTCACTTTATACTTTGTAATACATCCTGGAGACGTAGGCTCCTGCTGTTGCTGGGAAGCCTTAGGGAAAGTCAGGTCCAGGTGTTTGCAACACTGTTTTCATGCCAGAATCTGTTATTCCAAAGAAATTGCACAAGTAAAATAAGAAGGCAGCCTCCTAGAGTAGTTCCCAGGGTATGTTCCCCAGACCAGCAGCATCAGCAGAGATTTCGTCACCGGAGAACTTGCAGGGACTGTGACTTCTTGGCCCCACCCCAGACCTACTGATCCACAAACTCAGAGGGCAAGAACCCCGCCCCTGTCCAGCTGTGCTAATGCCACTCAAGTTTGAGAATCGAGCTGAAGCAGGGATGTGGGGAAAAGATCCTCACTCTCCTTTCCACTCCTTTGGAAAAGATTGGGTGATCCTCCTCCCTGGTTTCACTGGGGCCACTGCTACGGGTTGTGCAGCCCAATTTGGTAATCTGGTTACAGTGTTTCAATCTGATTTTCAAATTCTTATTAATCCGATGCCAGTACTTCTGGCCACTGTAGTGTTTTGTTTATACAGTCTCTCTCTCTCGCTCTCTCTTTTTTTTTTTTTTTTTGAGAGAGAGAGAGGGTGGGGAGAGAGAGAATCTCAAGCAGACTCCCTGCTGAGCACAGAGCCGGATTCAGGACTCAATCCCACGACTCCAAGATCATGACCTGAGCCGAAATCAAGAGTCGGACGCTTAACCGACTGAGCCACACAGCCGCTCCTAAAGCCACTTTTTTTTTTAAAACATTTTATCTTATTTATTTGAGACAGAGAGAATGAGAGAGACAGAGCGCACATGAGGGGGGGAGGGTCAGAGGGAGAAGCAGGCTCCCTGCCGAGCAGGGAGCCCGATGCGGGACTCGATCCAGGGACTCCAGGATCATGACCTGAGCCGAAGGCAGTCGCTTAACCAACTGAGCCACCCAGGCGCCCTTAAAGCCACTTTTTAATCAGTGTGTGTGGAAGGCCAAGGAGTGCTGACCCATGCAGGCAGCCACAGGGCTTGGGCTCCTTCACCCCACCCCCCACCCCCACCATTGCCCCTTTGCCTTCCCAGTCGCCTGAAAAGGACTAGATATGTCTCGGGGGTTAAGTGATGGAACACGCTGAGTGCACAGGACTCCTGCCTTGCATCCAGGCTCCAGATGAACAATGCACCCCCCCACACTGAATCAATGCCTGCATCCTCATCCCCCCCGCCGAACCTCTGAATATGTTAGTTTATATTCCAAAAGAACTTCGCCGATGTGACTAAGGATTTGAGATGGAGGGATTATCCTGGATGATCCAGGACCCTGTGTATTGACAAGGGTCCTCCCAGGAGGGAGGTGGAGAGAGAAGATGCTACGCTGCTTGCAGCTCTGGAAAGAGAGAGGGGAGACCATGAGTCGAGGAGTGTAGGTGTCCCCTCGAAGCAGAAAAAGGCAAGGAACCCATTCACCCCTAGAGCCTCCAGAAGAACCCCTTGTGGGCTTAGCGCCTCCGGAACTGTAGGAGAATAAACTTGTGTTGCTTTAGGCAACCAAGTTCGTGGTATTTGTTAGAGCAGCGGTAGGGAACCCATACACCATCTTTCAGGCTTTTAACAAACCTGCTAAGCTCCTTCCCAGCACGGAGCCTCACACATGCTGTTCCTGCGATCTAGGCCACCCCTCTGCCCTCCCCACCTGCCCCTGCACCTGGCTAGTCCCCCACTCACCCGCCCCCCGGCAGTGTTCGGGCCTCTGCCTGAATACCCCTTCTTTGGGGAAGGCTTCCCTGATAGATCATGTCTCCATGCCCCCATTATTGCTCTCAAGATCCCTTTCCTTCAGTACACCCCCACTGATCTCCCTCACGACACACTGGCTACCAAGGTCCCGAATTCCGTAAACCTGTCCCCAACATCACTCTGTCCTGTCCTGTATTTGTTTAAGATCCCTCTCCTCTGCCTGATGGAAGGCTCTGTGATGTCAGTGTCTGGTTCGACCACAGCTCAAAGGATGTTTGTGGGACAGCCGAGTGGCTGCTGGCGGGCCCAGCGGGGTGCCCAGCGGGATGGCAGCCCACGGCAACCACTTGGAGCTCTTCTCCTGGCCCAGCCTCCTTTACTCCCTTCCTCCCACCACTCTTTCAGCAAACAGGACTCAGCACCTCGTGTGTGCCAGGCTTTGACTTGAGGGAACTTTGAGTCTGGTAGGGAAGACAGGGTCAGTGAACAGACTCTTGGAGGAGTGAGTGATGGCTCTAGAGTGTGCTCAGGTCAACCTAGAGGAGGCCTGGGGCCAGCAGGGGTCCTTGAAAGGGACGGCCCGAACCCAGTCTTCCTCTACTTTGAGTCACATTATTTCCGGTCCAGAATCACAGCCAACCACACACACATGTCCCTGAGCCAAATGCACAGCAGACCAACACGTCCAGCTGGTCTCAAGGCTTTTATTTCTTTGAAGAGACAGTTTGCACAAGGGCTAAGCATGCATGCTCTGTGACCAGCCCGCCTAGGTTCAAATCCCAGCTCTAGGATTCATTACGTGCGCAGTATCAGGCCAGCCAGTTAATCTCTGTTGTCTCTGTTCTTTGTTCCCATTTCTGTAAACAGAAATAACGTTTATAATCCCTACCTTGGGGCACCTACCATGGATGACGGTAGCAACAAGTCAATGAGATAATCTCGTTTAGGCCTAGATCCTGGCTTTTGTTGAACTGCTTGTTCAACCCAGAATAAATATTATTAGTTTTTTTCTTGCCTTTGTTTTTGTTTTTTTTTTCTTGATTATTTGCTAGAATGTGGTAGTAGGTGCCAAAAATGTAAGGAAAAGATCCATGGAAAAATACTTCTATTCATTTCTTTTTCTCCAAAGCAGAAAAAAAACAACCGTTTGTAGTGGTGGTTGTGAGATGAGCTGGCAGGGCCTCAGAATTGTATTGATGCCCTGCCACGGATGGACGGAGGGAGGAGCAGAGAGGTGACCTCCTCTCTGATGCTGGCAGGAGGATTCTGGGGGGGAGGGTTGGGGGGCTCTCTTTGACGCAGAAGTGGGAGTAGCTGACTTCTGGGAAGAATAAGGGGTCTTTAGGCATCAAGATGGGTTGGGGTCTGGACAGAGGTCCACCTTGGGGCAGGGGTGTGGGGAAGCAGCTAGACGTGGGCTCAGAGTGTGGAACATGACTGGGTCGGGGTGATCGGGGTGAGCGTGGGTCCAGAGAAGAGCCCCAAAACACGGAGCGCAGAGCCTACAGTAATGAATGCAGATAATCGGGGTGGAGGCAGAAGGCAGAGAAGGCCATTCGGACACCGCCCTGACGGGGCAGATGCAGGCTGGCCGTGCTCATCTGGAGGCTGGACTCCACATCAGGTGGCAGAACGTGCCTCAAGGGACTCCATCCTTGGTGAGGACAGCACCAAGTCCCTGAACCAGGACAGTGCCCCGGATCTTCTGTCTGCGGGCCAATCCTCATTCTGAAACACTCACTGAAAAATTCCCCATCCTCAAACCCGGAAAAGGATTTAAGAGCTCAGAGGTGGAAGGGAGTGCTGTGTGTCTTGCTTCCTCTGAATCCTGGGTTCAGCGCACCCCTGGGGAGGCAATGACGGGCTGGACCCCTCCCCGACGGCCAGCTCCCCCGGGGTGCCCTCCCATAACCACGTTCTACTATGTCATGGAGCTCTGTGGTGGGTCTCGTGGTCAGATCCCCTTCTGTATGGACCAGACACTCCTGGAGGGTAGGTACCCCACTGTGAGAACCTGCAGGAATCATGTTACCTCTCTGGGCCTCAGTTTCCCCTCGTGTGAAACGAGGGAGAGGGCCTTCTGCCATTCTGCACAATTCTGCATATACGTGACACTCCATTCTGTCAAAGAGCTTTACTTGTGGGATGGAAAAGAAAGGAACCTGAGGGTTTGGAGGAGGGGCGAAACTTTCAAACACAGACCATGATTCTAAGGGCCCCTCGGCGGGGCCGGATTTAAAACTCTGGGTGGGTCTGCAGGCTGCCGGCTGCCTGGCCAGTTGGACAGCACAGTGGGGCTCCGGCTGGCTCTGCCTACATTGCCCAGGGCCTGGCAGCTCTCAGAAGCGTGGGACAGGGTGCAGACGAGGGGGAGGGACGGGGATGGCATGTTCCCGCCGGGACAAAGCATAGGGTGGTGGTCTGGGGTAGGATGAGGTGTAAATGCTCTCCCTCGGGGCAGCCTTGGGTGTGAGCCATCTCTGCTGCAGCTGTTCACGGAGTCCATAGTTTGTAGGGGGAGCTGCAAGAGAAACCAGGCTCTGGGTGAACGGGGCGTGGACCGGCCAGAAGAACGTGTTTTCCAGGGTTGCAGTATCCGGGACCGAGGCTGGTTCCGGAGGGAAGAAGGGCTTGCAGGAGTGTTGGCTCAGGGTGGGGCCGGTTCCCCGCGTACTCAGGAGGAACCAGGCGCTGGTACATAGGCCTCGGAAAAGTCAGCCCCTCGACTGGTGGAGGGTGGCCCTGCCGGCTCCTGGGGGACTGTCCTACCCTAGCAGGGAAGGGAGCAGTGCAGGCTTGTGAGAGCGATCCCGAGGAGAAATCCTTGCAAAAGTAATGAGGAGTGACAAGCCACTCACCATAAGACGCAGGTCCCTTTGCATTGAAGGGTAGGGAGTACAAAAAGTTGCATGCAAAGAAGGACGGTAGCTTGAAATGCAAATCAGATCAAGGCACTCTCTTACAAAAATCCCTTCAAAGTCCTGTTGCTCCTGGAAGGACAAAATCCACACTCCTCGTGGTGGCCTATGAGCCCCGAAGTGGTCTTCCTGCTGTGGAGCATCTTCACTTGCTATTTCCTCCCCTGGAATTCTCCCCCCACTCCCCAATTCCTATATGGCTCCCTCCTTCTCAACTCAGCTCTCTCTTCCAGAAAGACCATCCCTCATCATTCCACCCAAAGGAGATTCACAAATACCTGCCTCACTTTGTGTTCCTTACCTGGCATCTTCACTTCATGGCACATATATGATGGTCCAGAATGATCTTACTCGCCAGATCTTATCCATTAACAGTGTCTTATCTGGGACCCACTGGAATGACAACTCTCCCAAGGGCAGGAACTCCTCCCTGTTTGTCACTCCTGTGTCCCCCAGGTGCTACGTTAGTGCGGGGCCCCGGGGCACCAGTCGTCACTGTTTATGCAAAGATGATGGATCTGAGGGCAGTGATGCTGTCCCTGCCATCCGTGCTCCCAGTAAACCCAGACTGGCATGGCGGACAGGTGAGGGCTTCACCACACAGCCCACGTCACCTCCGTGGCAAGCAGCAGCCCTGCGGGTCAGTAGGATTCTCCCCCCTTCCGGGTCACACTAATGCTCTCTGTGTGAGTCTTTCAGCATCCACAGCCCTAGGGCAGCTGTGGATGCCTCACTGCCCAGCACAGGGGCAAAATCCCGAATTATATGAATACCGAGAAGGGGGAAGTCGGATTTCTCTGGGAGCCACAGCATCTTATGTCCACTCCAGGTGCGATGCGCGGGCAGGTCGGGGTTGTAATTGTGCCGGTTGTAATGGTCATCGTAGGTGCTGATCAGATGGCGGTGGGAGGGCTCCTGGTGGTGCGTGATCAGGTGTTTGTACGGGAGCCCCTGGAGGGACAGACACAGTGGGCGTGTTAACCGATCGGAGCAAGGCATCCACAGGGCGGCGGACGGAGGGAGAAACTGCCGCCTCGGAGGTGTGTGAAGCTGATGGTGAGTGTTGTTGCCTGAGCCCCAGGGGCCACCACCTGGGAGACACAGTTGTCTGGCCCACCAGGACGCAGCTCACCGTCACACACACATCCCAGCTTCGCGGCAGTCAGTTCTCCGTCTGGGGGCGCCCAACGCATGCCAAGTCAATTCATCCCTAGAATGGGCTATGGGGACACATTAAAATGAAAGGCAGGACACCCAGCTGAATAGGAAGAGCCAGAACCATCTCACTGCTGCCCTTGTGATCTGAAATTACACCCTCTGATGTGTCTCCAGGCTCCTCCACCCAAGTGCCTATTGCCATGGCCAGTGAAAGGCATTGAATACTGAGCATGACATATACACCTTGTATTTCAATCAGTTACTATGGGAAGAGTCAGAGAACGCTCCATAAATTGCCTTCTCCTGCAAAGGATTTATGGTTCCCTTGGCTGGAAACTCGAGGAGTGATTTCTTTAGTGGGAGTTATTTACAAGGAGAAGAAAGCCGTGTCATCCTTACTCTGGGACGTTTGCCTGCATCAGTGCCTTTCCGAAGAAAATCCTCTTGGCCCTGGAAGGGAATCTTGGAGGACTGGGCTGATTTACAGGGGAGGATAATGTGGATTTCCATGCCTGTCCTCATGTCTGGAGCAGACAGGGAGGTCTGTGTCTGCTCTGGTCTGGAAATGCCAGGTGCACATAATATTTCAAGTGGTGGTTCCATAAATAAGTCAGATCACAATGCCAAAGGGAGACGAAGGGGACAGGCACAGACATTAGGCAGGGGTTCCCAAGATCCGCATCACCAGGTGCCGGGAGTACAGGTCCAATGCCAGGGAAAGCAAGTTGGAGGGGTTCCCATGAACCCAGGGAAGTGCTGAGAAGGCATCACAGCAGGGAAAAGGAGAAAGGGATTTTCTTGCTATTCTTCTTGGCTTGGGGCACGGCCCTGCTGTCTTGATGATGAACCTGAGATTTTTGTTTTGATCAGGTATGATCAGGTGACAGATAGAGAGACAACTGCCTTGGAAAAAAATGATTTAGAAAGTTTATTACTGGGGCACCTGGGTGGCTCAGTCGTTAAGCGTCTGCCTTCGGCTCAAGTCACGATCCTAGGGTCCTGGGATCGAGCCCCACATCGGGGTCCCTGCTCCGCGGGAAGCCTGCTTCTCCCTCTCCCACTCCCCCTGCTTCTGTTCCCTCTCTCGCTGTGTCTCTCTCTGTCAAATAAATAAATAAAATCTTTAAAAAAAAGAAAAGAAAGTTTATTACTTTCAATTCCTGAGAGGAGGGGGCATCACACGGGACCACATAGGGAAGCACCAGTGTCGAAGAAGGAGCAGGAGAGAGAAAGAGCATGGCCCAGGACCTCCATGTGTTTTCCAAGGGAAGGAACAAGGTGAGGCAGGGTAAGCAAGTTTGAGAAGTTTAGGATTGCAGAGTTAGATTTCAGCTAAAGAGATGCTTCCGGTTATTAGTGCCTGGCCCTGGAGTGATTTAAGGCAAAGGGATTTTGGCTTGGCATGTGAACGTTACATAAAAGAGGTGGTTGGGGTGTGGGCTCTGGATTGGTTGGTTTGTATCCCAAAGGCGTGCTTCCAGGCAAGCTGTTTACTGTCTGTAGGAACTAGCCAGCCTTGGGAGGGCAGTCTGTCCAGGATTAGCACGGCCCCTAAGATGTCAAACCATCTAAAATTCAGAACACAAAAAAATGCGATGAATATACCTGCCTAGTGGAAAAGCACAGGAAGGGGGTCCTCTCTGGGTGATGCTAACCCCATCGATCCATAGTCAATTGAAAGAGCAGATATGCATTTGTCTAAGAAGGAGGAAGTGTGAAGTGGGGATGGGAGCTGGCTGTCCTAGGAGGAAGAGCAGGATGAAGTACCCGAAAGAGCTGATGGGTTGAAGCAGCTGTGTGGGGCAGTGCTATGTCCAGGGTCCCCGCACACAAGCAGGAGTTTTGAACAGAGTCCTTGGAAATGGATATCTGATTGCTTGGTTCTATTTTGTGTATATGTTGGCAGGGGACTTCTTAATTTTAACCCGATTACATAAGGATTTATTTATTTATTATTTGAGAGAGAGAGAGAAAGAGAGCCGGGGGAGGGGCAGAGGGAGAGGAAGAGAGAGAATCCCCAAGCAGACTCCCAGCCCAGTGCAGAGCCCAACTCCGGGCTCGATCTCATGACCTCGAGATCATGACCTGAGCAAAAAATCAAGAATCAGACGCTTAAGTGGGTGAGCCACCCAGAGGCCCCTTAACCAGATTCTGTGTGTGTGTGTGTGTGTGTGTGTGTGTGGTTATCTCTTCATCAGGGTTTGTAATGAGTCCAAAAGACTTTAAGAAGGGCATGAATGTGTATTGAGAACTAGGCTAAGTACTTCATATATATTGATGATTGGGGACCAGGAGCCCCAGATCATGGGCTCTTATTTTGACTTCCTTCTGTGAGCATGCATTTGGGTCTTCAGGGCTCACTAATGGTAACGATTGGCATCCCCAGGGCGTCAGCATGGTCTGCGGATGCTGGCGTACTCCAGGGATATCCGTGCAATCCAGGGATGCCCACACAGAGCTGAAAATGTGGTGCTGTTTATACAGAGATGACTCCCGAATGCAGAAGACAGAGTCCACCCCAGCAGATAATGAAGAGGGATGTGAGGATACTTGCTTGAGTTACAGATCAGCCACCTGCTTAGTCTCTTACCAACCAGCTACACAGTTTTGGACAAGACATTCACCACACCCGGGGCGCCTTTTATCTGCAAATGAGGGTGCTGAGCTGAACAATCTCTTGGAACCCTTCCAGCTCCAAAATGCTCCCATCCTGACACTGCCCACCCCTCACTCTGTGCCCCCACCCTGAGTTTAGGCAGGTATGGGGTTGGGGGGTGCGGGTGGGGGGACATGTCCTGAGGTCGCAGTGCCCTGCTTCCTGCTCCGGGGACCTGTGACACAAGGGCACGCACTCAATGAGTGAGAGAGGGCAGAATGGTCCCTGACTTTTTATACAAAAGAACAGGAAGCTGGGGCATAGAAGATACAAAATACTGTCATCCAAGCATCACCGCTACTCGCTTTTGGAGGACCTTATGTGATTTCTATGTTCCCCTTAACTCGGTATTTACCTTGCTTGTTTATTTCCCACACCCTTTGCCTACATCCTGTTGGGAGAACCTGGAGGAACTGGAAAATGATCCAGGACAGTGCTGGGATACAGGGTGGGGGGGAATGCTACCAGTTTGAGATTTGGCAGATTGTAAATAAAGGTGGATGCCATCTGCAGCCCCTGGGTTGGGGAGGGTGCTCACAAGACTACTACTGTGTCCCCTAGGGGGAACTGAGCTTAGAAGAAGCTTGCAGGTGGTGGCTCCTGAGCACTGGGGTGAGCCCAGGCCTGAGTGTGGGGCCCCCACTCCCTCGTACCTCAATTCTCTTCTTGCCATACCACCTGGAGATCTGGTCTGGTCTGTGGCCTGGGAAGGGGATGTACTCTTTTCTGTAAATGCACTGAGGTGTTTCCTCCGGGGCTTTGGTGAACTGAAAGAGATGAAATGGTCAGGATAATTTCTGCGATGCAGCTTCTCCCACTTCTGCAGCATCCCTTTCCCTCCTGGGCTAGGGAAAGCTGGGCAGAGAAAGGGTAAACACGGAGCCCAGGGCATCCTCACAATGCAAGCTTAATTTTGCCCCCTCCCTTCCAAAGCTCAGAAAGGACTGCGCTCAGGCACTTGGCATCCCACGCCTCAGGAAAGCTCTTACTTTCCTGGTCACCTGACCACTTCTCACCTTCTGTACCTGTTCCCTTTGTGTTCTCTCTCCCTGCTCCCCCCTCCTGCTTGCCTCCTTCTTCTCTTTTTTTTCTTTGTTTTCCTCACCTCTTCCCAGTTCCACTCTTCCCCCACCCCGCCCCATTATATTATGTTTCCTGGTTCCCATTTTTTTTTAATTTATTGTGGTAAAATAGAACAAAATTTACCATTTTAACCATTTTTACATATACAGTTCAGTAGCATTAAGTACACTTATATGGTTATGCAACCATCATCATCACCTGTCTCCAGAACTTCTTCATCTTCTCAAACTAAAACTCTGAGCCCATTAAACGGCTCCCGCCCTTTGCCCGTGGCACCCACCATTCTGTTCTCTGTTTCTATGAATTTGACTACTCCAGGTACTTCATACAAGTGGAATCATACAGTATTTGTCTTTCCACGCCTGGCTTATTTCACTTAACATGATGTCTTTGAGGTTTATCTACAGTGTAGCATGTGTAAGAATTTTCTTCCTTTTAAAGGCTGAGTAATATTTTATTGTAGGCATACCCTACATTTTGCTTATCCATTCTACCTTTTGGCTACTGTGAATAATGCTGCTACAAACACAGATGTATGAAGATCTCTCTTCAAAATCCTGCTTTCAGTTCTTTTGGGTGTAAACCCAGAAACGGAATTGCTGGGTCATGTGGTCATTCTATGTTTAATGTTTTTCTTTTTAAGATTTATTTATTTATTTATTTGACAGAGAGATAGAGCCAGAGAGCACAAGCGGAGGGAATGACAGAAGGAGAGGGAGAAGGAGGCTCCCCACTGAGCAGGGAGCCCAATGCGGGGCTTGATCCCCGGACCCTGAGATCATGACCTGAGCCGACGACAGATGTGTAACCATCTGAGCCACCCAGGCGCCCCTATGTTTAATGTTTTTAACAACTGCCATACTGTCTACCACAGCAGCTGCCCCATTTACATTCCCACTAATCATGCACAAGTGTTCCAATTTCTCCACATCCTCACCAACACCTGCTACTTTCTTTTTTTTTTTTTTAAAGATTTTATTTATTTATTTGAGAGAGAGAGAGCACATGAGAGGGGGGAGGGTCAGAGGGAGAAACAGACTCCCTGCCAAGCAGGGAGCCCGATGCGGGACTCGATCCAGGGACTCCAGGATCATGACCTGAGCCGAAGGCAGTCGCTTAACCAACTGAGCCACCCAGGCGCCCCACCTGCTACTTTCTTTTTCTTTCTTTTTTTTTTTTTATCATAGCCATCCTAATGGGTGTGAAGTGGTATCTTACGGTTTTGATTTGCTTTTCCCTAATGACTAGTGATGTTGGGCATCTTTTCATGTGCTTATTGGCCATTTGCATAACTTGGAGGAATATCTGTTCAGGTTTTTCCCCATTTTTAATTGTTTGTGTTTTTGTTGTTGAGTTGTAGGAGTTCTTTATATATTTTGGATATTAATCCTTTATCATATATAATATTGGCAAACATTTTATCCCCTTCCATGAATTATCTTTTCACTCTGTTGATAGTGTTCTTTGATGAATAAAAATCTTCAATTTTGATGAAAGTCCAATTTACCTATTTCTTTTTCTTTTGTTATCTATGATTTTGGTGTCCTATACAAAAAATCACTACCAAATTCAACGTCATGAAGCTTTTCTCGTATGTTTTCTTCTAAGAGTTTTACAGTTTTAGGTCTTACATCTAGGTGCTGATCCATTTTGAATTAATTTTTGTATGTAGTGTAAGGTAAGGGTCCAACTTCATTCTTTCACGTTTGGATATGCAGTTTTCCCAGCACCATTTGTTGAAAAGACTGTCCTTTCACCATTGAATGATCTTGCCAGCCCTGTTTAAATCATTTGACCAGATATGTAAGGACTTACTTCTGAGCTCTTTATTTTGTTCCATTTGTTATATGCCTACCTTTATGCCAGTATCCCAATATTTGGTTACTATAGCTTTATAGTAATTTTTGAAATCAGAGAATGTGAATCCTCCAACTTTGTACTTCTTTTCTTTTCAAGATTGTTTTGGCTATTCAGTTTTTTGAGATTCCAAATGAATTTTAAGGTGGATTTTTTAATTTCTGCAAAAAAAAAAATCATAAGGATTGCACTGATTTCCCATTTGGAAACTGGAAATCGATTTTGGGGATTGCCAGTTTTGGGTAGTATGACATCTTAATGATATTGTGTCTTCCAATCCATGAACATAGGACATCTTTCCATCTATTGACATTGTGTTTTATTTCTTTTGACAATATTTCGTAGTTTTCATTATATAAGTCTTTTGCCTCTGTGGTTAAGTTTATTCCTAAGTATTTTAATCTTTTTGGTGCTATTATAAATAGAATTGTTTTTTTAGTCCCCCTTTTAGATAGTTCATTGTCAGTGTATAGAAATGCAACCGATTTTTGCATGTTGATTTTTGTATCTTGCTACTTTGCCAAATTCATTTATCAGTTTTGACAGTTTTTTTCTGGGTTTTTTGGTTTTTTTTGTTTGTGTATGTGTGGTCTCTAAGGTTTGGTACATATAAGATCCTGTCATCTGCAAACAGAAATAATTTTACTTCTTCCCTTCCAATTTCTATGTTTTTTATTTCTTTTTCTTGCCTAATTGCTCTGGCTAGAACTTTTAATACTATGTTGAATAGAACTGGCAAAGCAGACATTCTTGTCTTATTCCTGATCTTAGAAGAAAAGATTTTTAGTCTTTTACCATTGAGTATGATGTTAGCTGTGGCTTTTCATATATGGCCTTTGTTATGTTATGGTAGTCAAATGCTAAGTAGAATTCACCAGTAAAGCCATCTAGTTATGGACTTGTATTTTGGAGATGTTTTTGTTTCTTACTTGTTATAGATCTGTTCAGATTTTCTATTTCTTCATGACCCTTTCTTCAATATATACTGTCCTTCTTTGGCTCTTATACCAATTTTTGACTTAAAGTCTATTTTTTTAATGATATTGGTATAGCCAACCCACTCTCTTTTGGTTGCTATTTGGATGGATAACTTTTTCTGTCCTTTCCCTTTCAACCTATGCATGCCCTTAGATCTAAAGACAGTCTCATAGATGGCATACAGTTGCAGCCTAGGTTTTGAGTTCCCCCCGACCATTTTGCCAATCTATGTCTTTTGATTGAAAAGTTAATCTATTTACATTTAAAGTAATTACTGTCAGGGGAGGACTTACTTTTGCCATTTTTTAATTTGTTTTCTTACAGCATTTTTTTTGTCCCTCATTTCCTCCATTACTACCTTTGTTTGTGTTCAGTTGATTATTTTCAATGACACATTTTTATTTCCTTCTCATTTCCTTTCATATATATTCTAGAGATATTTTCTTTGTAGTTATCATGGGGATTGCACATAACATCCTAAAGTTATAACAATCTTTTTAACAACCTATTTTAAATGGACACCAACTTGACTTAGCTCATATATAAAAACTCTGCTTTGTTACAGCCCTGCCATCTCCCATTTTATGGTACTGATGTCATAAACTGCATCTTGATATATTTTGTACCCATTAACACAGATTTATAATTATCTTTATGCATTTGTTTTTTTAAATCCTATAAAAATAGTGGAGTTACAAACCAAAATTACAATAATCGTGGTTTTTATATTTGTCCATGTGTTTACCTTTACCAGAGGTCTTTATTTCATATGGCTTTTAGTTACTGTCTAGCATTGCTCCATTTCTTGTAGGGCAGACCTAGTGGTAATGACCTCCTTCAGTTTTGGTTTATCTGGGGGTGCTTTAGTTTCTCCTTCATTTTTGAAGGATGGTTTTGCTAGCTATAGTATTCTCAGTGGATAAATGTTATGGGGTTTTTCTGTTTTGTTTTGTTTTGTTTTTTAGCACTTTAAATATATCACCCCACCCCCTTTTGGCCTGCAAGGTTTCTGTTGAGAAATCTACTGATATTCTTATAAAGGCTGCTTTGTACATGATGTGTCATTTTGATTTTGCTGCTTTCAAATTCTTTTGTATTTGACTTTCAACAGGTTGAGTATAATATGTCTTTGTGGGGGTCTCTTTGGATATTTCCTACTGGAGTTCACAGAGATTCTTGGATTTGTAAACACATGTCTTGTCTTCAAATTTAGGAAGTTTTCAGCCATTATTTCTTCAAGTATTCTTTCTGCCCCTTTCCTTTTTCTCCCATAATGTGTATACTGGTCTTCATGATGGTGACCCGTAAGTCCTTAGACTCTGTTCTCATTTTTTTATTCCTTTTTTTGTCTCCTCAGACTCAAGAATTTCAAATGATCTCTCTTCAAGTTCTCTTATTCTTTCTTCTGCCTATTCAAGTCCACTGTCAAACACCTCTAGTGAATTTTTTTCAATGTAGTTATTGTATTTTTCAACTCCATAATTTCTGTTTGACTTCTTTTTATAATTTCTATTTTTTATTGATATTCTCATTTTGTTCATATATTATTTTCCTGATTTCCTTTAGTTCTTTGTTCATGTTTTCTTTTAGCTCTTTATGCATATTCAAGGTAGTTGTTTTAAGGTTTTTGTCCAGTCCATTTAAGGGAAGATCTCCACTAACTAACAGGACATGTTCCAGGGTGAATGAAGTCTTAAGTTCTCAGGAGTTTTCTGAGCATGCATCTTGCCTGAACCCGTGTGTGTGTGTGTGTGTGTGTGTGTGTGTGTGTGGTGTGCTTTTTTAGTTAGTCTATATACACAGCTACTTTAAAATGCTTTAATTTCCCAAAGAGTGTCTCCCCTGCTTCTTCTCAAGGCCTTTTATGTTCTGTTGCATTTCTCCACCTGCAATCTCCAGCCTCAGACTTTCACAGGTCTGTAGTCCCCTAGCAGCTTTCACCAGCTATAACCACCCCTGCTTTCAACTGCTTTTCTTAGCCTGAAACATGAACTAAGACACTTTTCCTTATCTGAGCTCTGAGTTAAGCAAAGCAGAGGGACCAATCCCTCAAGTGGCCTCCAGACAGATTAAAATGTTGCTCCACTCTCTCTGGGTTCAAGGGAAGGAACCGGGAGCTGAGCCACTGCTTCTCTTACACTACGGCATGCTGTTCTAAGGAGAAGATGTGAAAAGAGCAAGTAAAAATACCATGGAATTTACTACCATTTTGAATGTGACTTTTTCTAAATTGGGCATTTGTTCGGTTGCTGTGGACCTTTGACTGCTTTTCAGAACTCTTCTATACTTATTTTAGCTAGGCTATAGTTGTTTCTTAAGGATTTCTGTGGGAGAGTAAGGAGCTGGAGCTTCTTAGTCTGTCATATTTTTCATATCACTCCAACTCTGCTCTCTTCATGCAACCTCTTCTAGGCGTAGGACCAGCCCATATTATCCGTGGGTGCTATCTCGCCCACAGGACCCTGGAGGGATTGCTCAGCCAGTTCTTTCTGCCCTTGGACCTTCTCTTACACACACCTGCTCCCCAAATAAGGCCAAGTCCAATGAGAACTAACAATGGCCACAGGCCACATCTAGCCGGAGGGGTGGTGAATGCAAATGTTCTCCCCCAAAACAGCCTTTTCCAGTTCTCAGAAGTCACCACCACCCTTCCCCACCAAAATTACCAATTGTATATCGTCCTCTTGCCCATTTCCCAAGAAGACATGAGGATATCTCCATGTCTCCGCAGAAATGTAAGTGACTCAGTCTTGATTGCCACCACAAATAAAGATATTCAATTTCAAGTAGGCCAATTCAGGCAAAGTATTTTTGTGTTGGCCTTTAAAGTACATGGGGACACCAAGAGCCCATTTGTTCTGTTTTGAAAGTAAAAACTGAAATTCACAGGCAGCGCAAGGTTGTGGAACAGGAATGCAGGGAGTGACAAGACTGCCTTGGCAAGTACCCCACTCTGGGAAGGCCCAGGCCAGGGACAGCAGACGTTCTGCAAATCAAGGTGCAGAGCAATTAGGGACGGGAACACCAGATGCCTGGAAACACTCCACTGAAAATAATGCTGAGGCACAGCTATGTTGATACCTCTGCTATGGCATTTTCAAGATATAATGGTGACCTTGATGATGGCTTGCATGTAACTCCCCTGTGAAGAGCACAGACACCCTAATGTCACATTCTTAAGATGTAACCATCTGTGACCCTTAATTTGGAAATAGCAATGACCCCATTCTTATCTCTGCCTGCCAGGCCACCCCAAGCCCTCTGTCCACTTTCTCCCACTCCTTACCTTCATCCTCTCTTCCACCCAGTTTCCAGTGAGCACTCGGGTTGAATACTTGGTCTCGACCTTCCAGCTTGGGGTAGAGAAGGACTGTGGACTTACTGCAGTCAAAAACTGCATGGTAAGTGTTTGCCCTGAGTCTTTCGACTTGCCACAGTTTCAGGTTTCAGGAGCGGGGAGATGTTACGCAGTTGCTGAGTTTAGGGTGTCTTTTTCATCTTCCCAGACGCCCTTCTGAGTGGGTATAGATGATGACACTCTGTCAATTTCACAAAACAAATGGGCCCGAGAGTCTACTTTCAGCCTCCAAGGAGAGGTGACCCGATCTTGGATTCCCTACTGTTGACTGTCTCCATGGTGATAGGCTGTGCCTACAAATACTCTCCTTAAGGGGGAAGCTGATTCTTCAGGAGAAAAACCGGCCCCATAGAAGCAAATCGAACCAACAATAACCACCACAAATGAAGGGCCAGAAGGACCTCGTTTTCGTGTTGTCACCCTGTGAGAGGCATCATCCTTGGGGTACTTTTATAAGGATGAGTTGAGATTATCACATTCTATTACTAATTCTATTACTCTAGTGCTGATGTGCTAGGCCCATGCGGAGACATTTGCATGTAGTCACTCATCTAATTCTCATAGCAGCCCTATGAAGCAGATGCCACTTTATACCTATTTTACAGATGAGAGCAGTGAAGCAAGGAGAGATTAAGTAGCTGTTTAAAGTCATCCATGTGAGAGAGTTGGGATCTGAATCCACTCTGATTCAGGCCTAGACCCCTGGGCTCCACTCAGTGCTTGTCTGCCCCTTTGCCCAAGGGGCTTCCACAAAGAATCCTATCTTTGTGCTCAAACTGATACCATGTGGTTCATTCGGTTAGTCTTCATTCACCTCACAATCATTTTATTGAACACATGCTACATCTTGGGCACTGAGCTGTGTGTGTAATGCATCAGTGACTAGACCAGGGTCCCATCCCCACAGAGGGACCCCTCTGAGGTCCAATGGGAGAAAGGCCATTATTTTGTTTATTCACTAAGCAAAAAAAAATTAGGAACAACCTATCTATTGAGGGAGAGCTGGTTCAATAAATTATGGTACATCTATATAATGAAATACTCTGTAGTTGTTACAAAATGCTAACAGAGAAAGGTGTCTCTGATATGGTTGAATTAAAGAAGCAGAACGCTGTAGTCTCACTTGCCACAAATGACGACATCCAATTTCAAGTAGGCAATTCAGAGAATGCATTTTTCCAACAGTCTTTAAACAAAAGTAGAGGAACTCCAAGAAACTATTTGTTCCCTCTTGAAACTAACCATGTGGTGGGGAAAGGACATGAAGACACACCGCAGAGCATGGCAAACCTCTATTTGGCAGGGACAGTGGTCTGGGCAGGCTAGAGCCAGGAAGGGGGCGATGTCCTTCCAATCCAAGTACAGGGGAGTCATGTGTTCTGTATAATTCCATTTTTAAAAACTTTTAATTATAAAATGTAACACAATATGAACAGGTACATTAAAAATAAATGTACAGATAAATGAATTACAGTAGAGCAAAACCCCACAAAATCAGCACGGAGGTCAATAAGCAGAACATTACCAGCACCGCAGAAGTGCCACACACACCTCCTCCTTTTCCAACCTGACTTCCGTAGCTGTCACTTCCTTGCTTTTTTTTTTTTTTTTTATGCTGAGCACTAAAGGATGCATTCGTATACACTAATGCTTAGCCTTGCCTGTTTGTGGAGTTGGTATAAATGGAACTGTATAGCATGTATTCATTTGAATCTGGTTTCTTTTCCTCAATACAGTTAATATTTTTTTTAAGATTTTATTTATTTATTTGAGAAAGAGAGACAGACAGAGCATGAGTGGGGGGAGGAGGCAGAGGGAGAGGGAGAAGCAGACTCCCCCCGGCGAGCAGGGAGCATGATGTGGGACTCGATCCCAGGACCATGGGATCATGACCTAAGCCAAAGGCAGACGCTTAACCGACTGAGCCACCCAGGTGTCCCTACAGATAATATTTTTAAGATTCACTCATGTTGCATGTAGCTGTGGTTCTTTGACTTTTTTGTACATGTCTCCTGGAACCCAAATACAGCCATTTCTCTAGGGCCGTGGTTCTCAAATTTCTAGTTTCTTAAAAATTATTTAGGACCCAAAGGGGTCCTAAATTTTTTATTTTTTATTTTTTTCAGATTTTTTTTTATTATGTTATGTTAGTCACCATACATTATATCATTAGTTTTTGATGTAGTGCTCCGTGACTCGTTGTTTGCATATTACACCCAGTGCTCCATGCAGTATGTGCCCTCTTTAATACACTTCACCGGGCTAAACCATCCCCCCAACCCCTCCCCTCTAAAACCCTCAGTTTGATTCCTGGAGTCCATAGTCTCTCATGGTTCTTTTCCCCCTCTGATTCCCCCCTTTCATTTTTCCCTTCCTTCTCCTAATGTCCTCCATACTATTCCTTATGTTCCACAAATAAGTGAAACCGTATAATTGTCTTTCTCTGTTTGACTTATTTCACTTAGCATAATCTCCTCCAGTTCCATCCATATTGACACAAAAGTTGGGTATTCATCCTTTCTGATGGCTGAGGAATATTCCATTGTATATATGGACCACATCTTCTTTATCCATTCGTCTGTTGAAGGGCATCTCAGCTCCTTCCATGGGTTTGGCTATTGTGGACATTGCTGCTATGAACATTGGGGTCCATGTGGCCCTTCTTTTCACTACATCTGTATCTTTGGGGTAAATGCCCAGTAATGCAATTGCTGGGTCATAGGGTAGCTCTATTTTTAATTTTTTGAGGCACCTCCACACTGTTTTCCAAAGTGGCTGTACCAACTTGCATTCCCACCAACAGTGTAAGAGGGTTCCCCTTTATCCACAGCCTCTCCAACATTTGTTGTTTCTTGCCTTGTCAATTTTTGCCATTCTAACTGGTGTAAGGTGGTATCTCAATAGGGCTTTTTAAAATATGAATTGTACTGGGCTCTGGAGCCAGGTCATAGCAGCTCATGAGAGCCAACGGTGCTCATCTCTTCCCAATATTACATTCTGTAAAATCACATTGGTAGCTCAAAATCATTCATGGTGAGGATATTTATACCACAAAATGGGCAAGCCCAATAGATTAATATAAATATATTATGATTTGTTGATTTCAAAAAATTCCATGTGTTGTGATATATTGTTTTGTGTAAAGGAGAAAATCTAATTTCGTATAGATTTGTAGTTAGAAGAGAGAGAAATATTTTAATAGGCTTTGCCGCTAATTTTTGATATTCTTTGATGTTACAGCAAAACTCAATGAGTGGTAATTTCTTAAAGGTTAGTTACAATGTGGAATCTGAAACTATTCAGTCACCTCTTTGAGCTCTGTTACATTAAAATCCACTGGTTGAGCTTGCGCTTTGAGTAGATCTTTCAGTTATTTGTGATTTTGTAACATCATGGTGATCATTTGAAATACATGGGTATACTAAGCCTTACAAATCTTCCAAATGTTGGCATATTATATGATATTTTAAAAATTGCATCTGCTAATACCACTAGTGATTTGCATTAGCAAGTTGACCAGCTTACAGTGATGGATACAAGTTTTCCAAAATTCTAGTTTTAGTTTGAAAACTCAAAACTCTGTCATTGGCAACAACTAATGTCCAGTTTTCCCTGAAGTATCAGACTTACTTCATTCATTTTTAAGAAAATATCTGCCAGATGTTCCAATTTGAATAACCACGTTTTTCTACCCATCATGTCTTCAAGTAAAAACGGTATTTAATTTAAAAAAAAAAGCCTACCTACTTCTGCTTACAACTTCAGTACTGTTTTTCAAGAGAATGTCATTTTTGGGTATGCAACAGCAGAATTTTACTCACACCTACCTTTTGTTTTATCACACAGCACAAAGGTCAAGATTTAATAAAGTTAATAATTTTTACTTCTTTGTCAAGGACAACCTTAAGTGAACTAGCATCATCGTTGTCATCATCATCATCATCATTATTATTATTAATTATTCTACCGCAAGTGTGTGGTGGCGGAGAATACGGCTTTAGCCCCACGGGTGCCCCTGCCTTGATTCATGCATGGGCACCAGCTGCTTTACCCACCACTGCTTCTCCACTATCAGAACCAACGTCGACACGGTGAAAAGGGACAAATAACCTCTTAGTATTATTAAGAAAATAGTTTTGCCCTTGCAGGTCCCCCGAAGGAAGCTTGAGGATCTCCAGGGATCTTGCTTTGGAAACCTCTGCTTTAAGATATATACCCATATAGCAGTGGAATTGCCGGTAATAAGGTATGTGTGTCTTCAACTTTGCTAGATGGCACCAAACTGTTGTCCAATATGTCAATTTATATTCTCCCCATCAGTATGTATGTTTGTTTCCATCACTCCACACCTCTAGAGCTTTTTGATTATCCTGTCTGTTAAGCAATAGCTCCCCATTTCTACTTCCCCCAGGCCCTGGTAATCCCTGTTCTACTTTCCAGCTCTATGAATTTTCCTGTTCCAGGTACCTCATATAAGTGAAAGCATACAGGGTTTTTGTTTGGTTTGGTTTGGTTTGGTTTGGTTTGGTTTGGTTCGGTTCAGTTTGGTTTGGTCTTGCTTATTTCACTTAGCCTAATATTTTCAAGGTTCATTCATGGTATAATACATGTCAGAATTTCATTCTGAAAGGTTGAATACCCACCATTTGCATTGACATGGATGGAACTGGAGGGGATTATGCTAAGTGAAATAAGTCAAGGGGCCCCTGGGTGGCTCAGTTGTTACGCGTCTGCCTTCGGCTCAGGTCATGATCCCGGGGTCCTGGGATCGAGCCCCGCATCGGGCTCCCTGCTCTGCGGGAGCCTGCTTCTCCCTCTCCCACTCCCCCTGCTTGTGTTTCCTCTCTCGCTGTGTCTCTCTCTGTCAAATAAATAAATAAAATCTTTTATTAAAAAAAAAGATTCTTTTATTCCATGTTTTCCTTTTAACCTGAG